GGCAAGATTAGAAAAGGATAAACTAAGAAAGCAACCAGCAGCCAATGGCTAAGACCTAGGAAATTGCCTTTTCATATTTCCAGAATATGAAAGATTACCGACTTCAATTTCTATGAGAATTAATCACATAATATGCAAGAGGAATACTTTTTTTGGGTAGAAGCAGTTTTCCAGCTGTTTCAGATATTAATTCTTTTACCGCAAACAAATCATAATAAAATTCTGCTGGTAGTAATCATGCTGGCCATTTATAAACAAACATTTTCTGCAATTAAAAAACTAATTCCACTGGTCTTTGTTTTTAACACAATTGTTAACAGAAGAGTGCCTTTCATACAGGGCTGAAACTACAAATGTTCTATCATATTCAGTGATGAAAATCTAGACAGTATTCAGGGGAAGAGCGAAGGTGTTAGCTAATTTCTAGAAGTCAACATATGGAGATTTTTATTTGTCAATCGAGGAGCATGTAAATTACTTACTTTTCATTTATCATTCACCAAATGCTAGCATCCCATTGGTCTTACTAAATTTATCTGGCACAAAAAAGATGTTATGAACTTTTGACCATAAAACTCTCAATGGGGGAAACCTGAGGAATCTGGTCCTGGGACCCTCAATCACATCAGAACTCATTAGGTAATTTTCCTGAAGATTTAGGGGAACAGAAAGATGGCCCAAGGTGTACCATGTTCTCTGACTCCTCTACAGGATGGACACACACACACACACACACACACTTTCTCTCTCTCCTCCTCTCTCTCTCGATGCCCATAAATGGTAAGCCAGGCTCAGCAGGAAGTACTTATTAACACAATAATTTTCTGTCACTCTAGGAAATTATTCAAAAGGCAAAGAGAAAATATACTTAGAGTGCACAGGCCTGTGAAAAAGAACAGGCCCATACAGGCAGTACTAACAGTGAAGAGAGGCAGAGAGAAAGTTGCCCAAACCCCCAAGCAGGTGGATGGACAGACAGGCTGGACTCTGCCGGGACTGTCCCCCCGAGCTTTACCTTGTTGGAGAGATCCAAATTGCAGCCGGCTTCACAGAGGGCCACCACAATCGGCACATTGCCATCTTTGCAGGCCACGTGGAGGGGCGTGTTGCCGTGCCGGTCTTGGAAATCGACGGAACAGCCCTGGCTGATGAGCGTGTGGATGACCTCCATCTGGCATCGTCTTACAGCAAGATGCAGAGCGATGTGTCCATCCTGCAACAAACACCGGGGCCGTGAGCGCTTTCGCACGGGCACATGGGCCTGGCCGCCCGCCTTTCCAGCAGCACAGGGCTAGGTTTAACCGGCAACAGGATCATTACTGCAAAGCCCGAAGGAGGATTAGAAACCATAAACCTTCCTCCTGGAGGGGCTGGGGCAGAGGCCGCATACACCCGACTCTGATTCATCACAGACCAAGCTGACCATCGGCTTAATCAGCCTAGGCTCGCCAGTACGTTCAGGCAGGAAGACTCCACATTCGTTTTTGTCTCTGAATTTACAGGACTTAAGTCATGATTGGCACTCCAAAGGCCGGTTCTATCCAGTATTTGAAAAATACTTCTAAAAAACATTTGCCCAGCAATCTTTACTAACTTGCTAAGTTCATTATTTTATTTCACACCAGGAGAAACTGAGAGAGGTGTGATTTGCTCAAGGGCTGTCATATATATGAGAAGCAAACAGAACACGCTTAACCTCTGCATCCCACAGAGCACTGGCCTGGGAATTCACTCCACCTGCTACAGAATCCCCTGGCGAACAGACGTGTTGCGCCTCAGGAGCTGGGCAGGGGGAGTTTGGAAACACTTCTGTAACTTGTCTGTCCTAGGGTTGCTCAGCCTCAGGACGATGGACATTTTGGGGTCTGTCCCAGGACGATCAGCAGTGCCACTGGTCTTTATCTACCAGATCCCCCACGCCGGCTGTGACGACCAAAACATGTCTCCAAGCCATTACCAAATGTTCCTGCGGGCAAGGTCCCTACCCACTTGAGAACCACTTCTCTGCACCCAGAAAATACTCCACCCGTGGCAGTTACAAGATTAACTACAGCGTCCTAAATCTCACTGTTTACGGCCACATCACAGACTCGTTGTAAGTACAAGTTCACAGTAAGAACAGATTATACTGAATTTGCTTAATCAAAAAAGAAAACCTGGTCTAGAATTGAGATTGCCAAACAAGTAAGAGTGGCTTATTGTCCTTCCACAAAGCAGCGGAAACGGAAGTAAATAAACCTCCTATTTCTTTGTCCATCTACAAGTCTATGGTGTGTTGCCAATTTTAGTCCTAAATGAGGGTCTGTCTTGGGTTCCGTGATCATCCCTGAACCTGCCCAAAAGGTAAAAAAGCTAAAAATAAAAGACTTGACTCATCCGAGCAATTCACAAGTTTTGTTACATCCCACAAATGAGTATTAATTATGACACAGAATCTAGAATCACAGACTCTTCGGAACGGAGAAGAGGAAGGATAATTATAATTTGCTGCTTTCAAGTTTGTTATTTTAGGTACACTAATTGAGAAGTCTTGTGGTCCCTCCAGCCCCCCAGATCACTCCCCAGCGAGTGGGATGCAGTCACCCACAAGGCACCTTGTCGCACGCGTTCAGGTCGGCTCCGTGTTCGGCGAGACACTCCACGATGTCGTGGTAGCCCCTGGCCGAGGCTGTCAGGAGGGGCGTCTCCCCTTCTCGGTTCTTAATGTTCACGTTGCAGCCGGTTTCACAAAGGGCTTTGGCCACAGAGTAATAGCCGTGCCAGGCGGCACAGTGCAGGGGGGTTTCTTCTTCCTGGCCGAGGGGACAAGCACAGGGAGGAGGAGAATGCGATAATCTGTGCAAGGAAGCGCAGGCACAGTGGGAGTCCTGGCTAAATTCAGCAGCAGAGTCAAGGCAGTGGAGAGAAAGAGTTTGTAGCCACTGGGGCAAAA